AAAGAAGGAAAGAAAGAAAGAAAGAAGTTGGAATAAGTACCCCCTTCATCTCATGCATTCTCCTGCCACTGTGGTGGACACAAGACCAAGACCAAGACCAAGTTCCTTGGACACAACAAAAGGTCATTTAGTCTCAGCCACCAGGGCACATTGTATTTTTCCTGGAGTTAGTGAAGTGGAAGAACGAGGGTCTGAACTTGTAGGTGACTGTGCTTCCTGTCATGGGACTAGAGGATCTGGAGGAAGTGACCGGAGGCAAAGAGAACCCAGAGGAGGCAGAGCCCTTTCAGCCCTTTCTCCAGATGAGCCACAGTCTAGCTGTAGCCCCCCTCCCCCAGTCCCAGTGTCCTTCATTGCTTCTGTGAGTCTGAGTAGAGTTTCTGTTTCCTGCCATTCAAAGGCTCTGGGCTGAAGCAGTACACAGGAGGGCCACAGGCCCGGAACTGGTGGGGCAGAGGCAATGGGGAGACGCATTTCTATAGTAATCGTTACTTGTGCAAATGACCTTTTCTTCAATTGAGCTGAATGTGAGAGACTAAAATTCTGAGTGAAGCCCTGTGCATTAATTTTGATTAAAATTTAAATAGACTTACAAAAACTAACTTACTGGCAACTTTTTTGGAGAATATACAAATACAATTAACATCAAACTAACATCTAACATCATTAGATGGTATATTTAATATGTGAGTATATAATTATTAACAATGCATTGTTAACTATTATAATGTGACATTAATAATTATATTAATCATAAAATTTTATTTTATGTATCTCACAGGAGAGTCCTTGAAGACCTGCAATGCAAGGATATGTGAAGGCGTGGCCTGCACTTTTGAAATACTACTGGCCCCTTTTGCTTTAGCAATTTAGAAAGCTCCTAAAGTTAGGGATCACATCTCAGTCCTCTCTTGGTATCTTCCAGAACTGTCTCTGAAGACTTGGCAGCTCCTTCTTTGCCTGGGAAGACGTGTGTAGATATTTTACAAAAAGTCCCTACAACCAACGCAGTTGTCAAAATTTCTCCTGACCCCACCTTCTATTTTTCAGTAAAACTCCCCAGTCCAATCCTGGGCTCATGTTCTAGTGCCTCATATCTGGTTCCCACCATCCTGCCTGGCTTCTTACTTTGAGGCTTTCATAGGACTTCCCATACTAATCCTTGATGTCCAAAGCTCGCTGTCTTTCTAATTCCAAAGCTCTTTCAACGTCCTTAATTATCCTCCTACCCCAAAGCCCTAGTATGGCAGCATCGGCCTCTGCTTGTTGAAGAAGGTCATTGGATTTCAGTCCCAGTCCTGCGTGCGCACTGTGTGCCCCTCAGTTCCATCTCTGTCTGGCTCCACTATGTTCAGGGACTCGGGAGGCTAGATTTTATTGCCTATAGCAAGTGGTTCCTTTACCCTGTGGGTTCCGGTGGAGATTGGCCAATGGGAAGCACTATGGGAAAAACAGAAGGTTACTGGAGGAGTCAGCTAATGATCCCTTGGCTTCCGTCCCTGGCTGGCGCAAGGTTGGTTTCTTACTTCTAAGGCCATAGCTGCTGTCAGGGAGCTCTCATGTGTGGCTCCCTCCAGGTCTGATAACGCACCCTTGCCACTTGCCCTTCAGGCCCTACTGCCCCACCTCCCACCATGTTTCATCACTCCTTAACTCCGCCTACACCTTCATAAGAAGTTTCTCTTTTCCAGTTTTCCCAATCACCTTATGTACATGGGCCATCTCTTTCCTGTAAAGACCCTGCCTAAAACACCCCCAGTTCCTAGAATGCTGCCCTGCTCATGGTAGGACTAGGGAGCACCAGGCAACCTTGAATTGTCCTCCTGGATTCACCATGTATCTGGTAGTTATTCAGAAACATGCTCTGGTTGCTTACCACGTCCTGGACACTTTGCCTTGGCCTTTGTGCTGCAAAGATGAATATGTATGGCCCTTCTCCTCAACAGAAAATGACATGACAGGGACATGTAGAACTGTGTGGAGACAGAACTGTGTGGAAGAAACTCCCCAGGACCTTTGGGGATCTGAGAGCTGTGAGCTGTGTTCCGCTGGATGAGTGACAGGTCGCTAAGCAGACAGCATGGAACAGTACATGAAGGCAACATACGCACATCAGAAAAATGAACTTGTGGAAGGTTCTAGTACATGTGTATATGTGGAGGTGTGTACCTGGGAGGGGATGGCAAATGCTGAAAATGTGGGCAGAAGCCACAGTACAAAGACTGCATATTCATTCATCAAATTTCTAGGTTTTATGGTGTGTTACATTATGAATTTGTAGCTTTATTGTGCTGGACCACAGGAGTAAGAAACAGGAATGGAGGCAAGAGTTCTGTGACTATATAACTGTGAAAGTTAGGCAACTACTGGCATCATGGAACAAGCGATGTTTTGTTAAATCAAATAAAAACAGCATTTTCGGTTACATATATCACAGAAATCAGTGGGGAAGAAATGAGTCATTTTCAAATGACCAGTTTTCCAGCCTAGAATGCCATTTCTATCACACAGGGACCTGAATGCTTTCAGAATCCCACACAAAGGACTGGCTGAGCTCCCCACTGGGACGCCCAGACCATGCTTCTCTCCAGCGGTCCTCATGTGCCCTTCAAGAGGTCGACCTGTGCTCTCCATCCTCCTGTCGAACGTCATGCTCCAGCCCAGGGTCACTTCGCTCCAGCCCAGGGGACCCCATTATGTCATGTTTCCTTCTCTCAGCCAGAGCAATTGCTTCTCAAGTTTCTTTTAAAAAAACTTCATCATGTTGACTTTTAAACAGAGTCAGGAAGTATTTTCAAACAGAGCCCTGAACACTGTCTCTAATAGAATCATTTCCTTTCTGTGAAGATGTATTTTTCTTTGACTTCTGAGCGACAAGGGGAAAAGAAGGGTAGTCACAATTTTTGAAATATCTATTTGTTCCCTTTGAGAAATGGATGAAATCTTCCTAAATTTAAAACGGACCCCTGACCCCTGGAGGGGCTGTGAAACACACAGTCATGTGTTCACAGTTTTTCATCGTTTACATCCATCCACCCATGTGCACGCTGTACACACAGCTAGTATACCCAGGGAAGCTGAGTTGTGAGAGGTCACATGGAACATAAGTCATGAGTCAGAGCAGAAACTTGGGAAGTTGCAACACGCCCATCGCTGTGCGGAGTGAAGGGACAGCGCAGTGGTTGGCCACACAGGCAGCTGGGCTGCCCTCGCCAGAGTCCCAGCAGGCTGACTTCACGGACGTTACTTAATCACTGTGCCTCAGTGTGCTCATAGGTAAAACGGATGTCATAACCATATGTGCCACATAGGGTTGATTTGTGGATTACATCAAAACCACCTACAAAATGCTTGCTCAGCACAGCACTCAAGTTCTATCAGTTATTGCCATTGTTTTGATTGACAATACCCAAACTCATTGTTTTAACTCTCCTTTAAGGGCAAGCTTCCTGAAGAGAACCTACTTCTGGGAATATATCCTAAGAATCATGAAGCACCAATTTGAAAGAATCTGTGCACTCTTATGTTTATAGCAGCGTTATTTACAATAGCCAAGTTCTGGAAGCAGCCAAGTGTCTACCAGTAGATGATAGAAAAGCTGTGGTACCATGTGGTGCATTGTGGTGCAATGGAATACTATGTGGCCATAGAAAAGAAGAAAATCTTACCTTTCATGACAGTATGGATGGACCTGGAGATTATTATGCTAAGTGAAATAAGCCAGTCAGAGAAAAGACAAATATCATATGATCTTGCTTATAAGTGGAACCTAGCGAATGAGATAAACCGATGAACAGAATAGAAACAGAGGCATTGATACATGGAACAGACTGACAGCTGTCAGAGGGGAGGGGGACTGGGTGAAGGAAGGTGAAGGGATGAGATAGAGAATACACATGCATAACCCATGGACACAGACAATGGCGTGGTGATGGCCAGAGGGAAGGAGGAGCGGGGTCTGGGAGGAGGGGGACAAGGGAGGGAAAATTGGGGACACTGGCAATAGTGTCAACAATACAAATGAAGGAAAAAATATTATCTATGTGTGCCATCTCTGTATACTGCAGCCCATCTCCCCATCAACCCAGCTCAACTTGTTTTCATTATAACAGTGACAAGTCTGTAGCAAACCTGGGCTTCACTGATCATCAGGTGTAGGTCACCAAGAAAAAATAAGGCAAGAGAACAGTTGCCAGGTGTCAAAGCTCACTCATGCACAAGCACAAGAATATGCTCTTTCTTGTGCAGAAGCGGTGTGGGTGAGTGTGCACAGGTATGTAGAAACTTTTTGTCACATCACAATGGGTCAGCCAAATGGGTGTACAAATGTACTTGAAGAGATGCATTTGTGTTCCTCTTCAAGAAGGTGCAATGAGGTATATTTACAAAAAGTTCCCTTGTCCAACTTATTTCAGTGTATCTTTGGAGAGCTGTTGTGTTGAAGAGGAAGGAGATGTAGAAACAGAGTAACTTTATAGATCCCATCCTCTAGAACAGATTAAATCCCGGGTCTCAGTGTGGCGGGCGTGATATTCAATGAACCCAAGGGGAGTCCTGCCCATGAGGCTAGAAATCTGATCCGTCTTCTTTCCCACTCTGTTGGAGACCCGAGGCACTTATGCTGTCTCTTAACACATGTTAAGTGATCCACAGATGTAACTGATAAACTAATGAGTTAATGAACTCTACTACCCACCTATGCCAGTTGTTCACCCTACAGGCTTCATGCGCATGGACTCCGATTTTGACTTCACTGTCCCACTGGCCCTGGACACCTGCCCTGACCCCTCTCAGCCATTTCTTACCAAACCATCTACCTCTTAACAGCCTCCTCCTCTGGGGCTCGAGATGCCTGCCATGACTTTGAACACTATGCATCCTCTACTTCTGTGCCTCTCATGCCTTTATCAACTCCAAATTTGAATTTGGGGGATGTGGACCATACCACTTAGGTTTAGTGAAATGTGTGTAACTGGACAGCCTCCTAGGGAACCAGTCCCACAGTGAAGATGGCGCTCCTTAGCCCACTTGTACCTTTATTAAAGTCATGAATGGCGAAAGGCAGGGTAACGTGTAGAGACTGAAGAGAAGCTCACTCTAAAGAAAAACCTTCTAATGAGGTTAGCAAGTTACCTAAAACATGGATTTCAAATAGAGACCGCATTACCACCGGTTCAAGGTGCAGTACGGGAACACCCAATATTTATGAAAAGATTTGTGTGTACAAGGTCCATGGCAAATTTCTTCCTTCCCTTTAATCTCCGTTCGAAATGACATGACTTCTCCCCACTCTCTGATTTTAAGGGACTTAGCTTGATGCTGAAGACCTTATGATCTCAAAGTAATACAAGTCACTGATTTTATTTTTTAATTTAAAAATGTTTCTTTTATGTAATAAACACATTTTAAGGGTTTAGATGAACTGCATTTTAGAAAAAGTGTAGGTGGTTAGAGAATCAATCGAATTTACTTATGAATCTCAGCTCTAATTCACTTCAGAAGCACAACATTTGGCAGTTTATTTACTGCCCTGAAAATGAAATTTTATCTAGAAAAGAAGATAAAAATGTATCTATGTATTCACACACACGTATAATATATATATACACACATATATGCATATATATGGTATCTATATACTGTATACATGTTTTTATATATATTAAAATATGGCTTGCTTCTTCTCAACATGTAGCTGATAGCAATGTGTGCTTTATTGTATCCATATAACATGTCTGGCCTTATTACATATTACCTCCTTAAAACGTAACAACACTCTGTGAGGAAGAATTATACAGATTAGGAAAACAAAGTTAGATTGTGGAAAATATTTCCCTATGAAGGCTGGTAAGTGGCACCATTGGCACTGAACTTCATGGCAGTCATGACACCAGACCTAGAGTGTGAATTTCCAAGTGGAGCAGTCAAACCCACATTACCCTACACAGAATCCAACCGGGATTCCCTGCAAACCTTTTGTCTCAGTCTGTTATTGACGCAATGGTGCTACTGTTCGCTTAACCTGTCCTATTCCACAGATATTTTATTGTTGCAAGAAATGCAATCTGTGTTTCAGAGAGCTGAAAATTAATTTGGTAATAATCAAAGCCACTCATATTTGGGTAACACAGATCTAGGTAGAAATTAAAAATACATTAAAAAACTCCAGCCATTTTTATGGGTGAGTTGTCCAAAGTATAATCCATGATGGCAATACTGCTCTCAACACAGAATGCACACCTTTCTACAGTGGTTGGGCTGTGACTCTGGGCATAGCTATTTTCTCTTGTCTGGTTATGGAATATGCTGCTTTGATATGGCTGTGTTGTGAGACTGTAAAATAGGTTTTTAAAAAATGTTTGTTCCCTTGGAAACTTTATGTTATCCTTGGGAAGTACCCAGATATGTTCCTGAAAAGTTGACTATAAGTTCAACTTTTGAGAATAAAATCAATTTTAAATGCTAGTTACTTAAGCGAATTCTCTAGTAAATTCTTTTATGGGGCAAAAAATTACATGCTTCTTGGGGCCAAATCTTGATTTTTATATATCTACTTTGTTTTCCCTACATCCACAGTTACCTACAAAATTACAGTGAGGCCGTACTAAGTCAGCTTCCCAACACCAATGCCATGTGTAGACATTAGTGAATAAAAAAGTAAGCCAGTGAACACCACATTTGTAAGGCAAGTTTCAGAATCCCCAACATCTCTGTTAATGGGGCCTAATCTTTAACTTTGGAAGATAATCAAAAGACATTATTGGAGGCTGTGTTACTATGAGGGAATTGTGCATGAACTTCCATCGAATATAAGAACAATAAACAGAAACTGGAGGAAACGCCAGCTTGGCAGTTTCAGTCAGCAGGATAGTCCTACTTTTCCCTCAGATGAGCCAGTTTTGGTAAATTGTGTGGCTTTCTTGGGCCTCAATTATCTTCATTGGGAAAATGAGAGTAAAAATGTCTGCCCTTCGTACTTCCCAAAGTTCATCAAAATCACATGAAATCTGACATATGAAGGTGTTTTTTTTGTAAAGCACAATGTGGGTTTCATAATAAAACTAATTAAGTGTGTGGTTTAATTATGAAACTAATTAAGTATTAGTTTCATAATAAAACTAATTAAGCCTTTCTTCCAGGCTGGGTGGAAGGATGAATCCTATTCTTTGAAGTTCCATTGTCTTCTCTTGGAAGCACTGGCAGCAAAGAAGAGCCATGGATAAAAATGTTGTTATTATTATAACAATCATAATAGAAATAACAATAGCACTTTTAATACATACAACAAATAGTCATATTTGGGGGTCTCTGAACAAATCAGAGTGTGGCTCCCAGTGGAGGTCCTAGACAAGGTTTTCTGTCCATTCCTTCTCTCTCTTCTCTTCCCTTCCCTTTCTTTTCCCCACGTCTTTCTAGATTCTTGTTCGTCATGTTCTTGGCTGGCATCCTACCCAAAGATAAAAGTTTTGATATGGTGTTCTCTTTGTAGTTTTTATTAAACTGCCCTGGCTTCCACATTCCTGTGCCACAGTCTCAGAAGCCTGAATGAGTAACTAGCTTATTAACTTGATGAGTGGCAGACACTGTAGGCATTCCTGTGATTGAGCTGGGCTGAATGAGGTCATTAATGGGAGATCTTGACTTTGATGTCACCCTGTCCTAATGACATTCAATATGGTTAGAACCTTTAGCACTTTCCCCAGGAAGTGAGAAATATAAAGGTTATGATTTCAGTTTAGGTTAAAAATTGATTCAATGCCAACTTTTAAAAATATAAAGATTCCTTCTAAGGTTCCAGCTCTCTGATATCTCTTGAAGTATCAGAACATATAGTGACCTTGGGTCCTTCATGGCAAAAAACAGCAGCCACCGAGGAGCAGCTGGTTCCTTTAGACCGGCAAGCTGTTTACCATGCACTGCGATCCCCACCTGTCCCACCTCACTTACTTATGTCATTTGTATGGCCCCTATAGTCCTGGAGTGTGTGACCCTCGTTAAACTCACAGAAATAACCTAATTAAGTCCTGCCTCATAACCAGTTAGTCATGGGTGAAATCATGAACAGATGGTTTAGGGTGAACATATGTTGTTGATCTGTTTCTCTAAGTTCATTAACTGCTTTGCCAGCATTTTAAACAGTCTAATCATATGCCTCAAACTATAACTGGAGCTGCAGTTTAAAGGGGAATAATCTAGAGATTTTGTTGAACTGTTTATTTTTAGATTCCAAATGAAAGCTCCTTAGAGGTTTGATCTGTAGTTCAAAGTAGAATGAGACCAGCTCAGTGAAGGTGAGTCCTAGGCATGTTCCAAACCCCACCCTTGACACATTCCTGTGATGTCAGATACTAGAAAGGGAATCTTTGCTGTGGGGTTTTTACAACATACAGTTTTGAAACGTAAAGGTCTTCCTGCAAAATGTCACCACATGTGAGAGGCAGGGAGAACAGGACTTAAAGACTTAATTTTGGTCCTGCTTGGAAGCTTCTAGAGTTTTCTGTGAAGATTATAGACCGGAAGCACAAACGGGGTCTATGTGATCCTATGTGGTCTGGTGTTCCACAATCGAACCCTAATGTCTAATACTATGAACGTCTAGCTCACTGGGCTAGACGTTCATAGTACAGACATTAGGGTTCAATTGTTTCTATGTTTGTGTGAATGAGAGAGCCTTGCAAGTGTGTGTACAGCTATGATGAATGACCAAAGAACTGGAGATCTCAGACTCAAAGACAGGTAATATCTTGGGATTTCTGGAAAACAGAAGACCCTCTTGTCTGACTTTGGGCAAGGGCAGATTGTCCTAATCTTCACCAACCAAGTGTTCAATCACTCACTGGGTGAGGCAGAGAGTGGTATGGGCTTTAGGGAAAGGGGGCAGAGCAAATGCCAAGAGAACATTTTATTTGAGGGGCAAGCAACTACTTATTGCCCAGCCATTAAATCAAACTTTCTTTCGAGACCCATCTAAGTTGGCAAATGGTTGGCTCAATAATAAACCATGTATGAAAATGTTTAAAATTGTCCCTGAAGGACACAACAATGGCGATTTCAAAACCTCAATTTAGCATTTCCCACTTGTCCTGAGTCGGAACAAATTTAGTGTAACTGGGAAGGAGAGGATGGATAAACAGAACAGAAATGGTAATAACCAATGTGCAGCCCAAGGGAAGTTACTTTTTCTTCTTGACAAACTCACAGACAAAGTACATGGTGAGGTGGCACTCCGTGTCATTCCATCTGCCGGAGCTCAGCATTTCCACGCAGTCCTCTTGGCCGTAGGGGTCGCTGGGCTCTCCCTCCTTCCAGTTGCTGTAGTTCTGCAGTGGAGTGTTGTCCGTAAACACATACTGCCCCTCCCTCTCAAGGTCATTCACTCCAATGAAGACCCGGAAGAAGCCACTCTTGGCGACATAGTCGGCAATGAGTGAGTTGGCAGCTTCGTCCTTGGGCATGGCTAGCATGCCGCCCCGGATCCTGCAGTGGGTCAGGGATTCCCTGTAGCTCTTCTCCTCTTGCACAATGTAGTAGAATTTCTCATCTGTTTCCCTAATCCCTGCAATGGCTTTGCAGAGAGGAAGAGTGAAATTATGTGTCTCAAAATAAGAAAAGGCAATTATATAATATTTCTGGATTTAAATGCATTTCCCCAAGATTCTACAATTATTTCACAAGACCCTATGAGGAGGTTGGCATTGGTTTCATATTTTCTCCACCCTCCTAGTTATCAAGCGGAGAAAGAACACCTACCAGTTGTCCTTTCTGCCACTCCTTTCTAACTTCCCACACAACTTTGAAGCAGAGAGCTATTTTGACACAGACTTGTTACATGAACTGCCACCCAGCTCGTCTCAGACTATTTTTCTCATCCTGGTTTAGGCTTTTGCCAAACTTACAGTCCCATGAGCATGCCCTTCTCTCTTCCATTTCCATGCTTTTCATGCCTGAAAATCCTTCTCACTGCTTCTCTGGCTGGGATGCTCCTACTCATCCTTGAGAGCTCAGTGGCAGTGTTTTATCCCATAGGAACCTTTCCCTGAACAGACACCCAGGACTATTGTCCCCCATGTCTCCACTTCATAGTACTCAACACGGTTTAGTCTAATGGTCTGTGTGTGTCTTCTACTAAACAGTAAACATCTTGAGAACAATGACCATGTCTTTGCCACTCTGTAGCCTTGGTGCTTCCAACACTGCAAAGGATGGTAGAAACTTATTGAACCAATATGGGGATAATTCAGAAGTTTTTCCACTTTGGGACAAATTCTTAGGCTGTGAACACATGTATCTATTGATATACACATTCCAGGTACATGAAGTGAACTGAGCTACTGACAGAATTAGGAACTCAGAATCATTTTAGGCTCCTAGTGTGGTATGAATGTTTTGGACTTCAGGGGTATCAACATACACTTTTTAGGGTTCATAAAGTAAAATTCACAAAGAAGTCTGTGACCACTCAAATGTTAAGAACTATTGCTGTATGTTGAAGCTCAGAGGTGTGGTTTCTTCACGAGCATCCAAGTCACGTCAGAGATAGCGTTTGTGTGCAGGTTCTAACCAGAACTATAACTGGGGTCATGAGTAATACTGAGCATTTCTGGTACTCCTAGTATTACAAGATGAGGGTGAACATGACATGGCATCAGTGTGCTTCCCATAAGGTACAACCAATATAGCTGGACTACAATAAACGGAAGTACAACAGAATGGAGCCAACTGCAACACCACCCACAGTAGTTCCCCCATTCACACTGTCTCAGAAGAGAACATCAGCCCCACTTTAAGGGTTTAACTGCTAACTAGAATGGGGAAATGGACAGGAATAATAAAAATGACTAATATAAAAATGCGACATTTAAAGAAACACATAAGGTCCCTATCAATTTGCATTCAAAATCCCTGCTGCATGGATCATCAGCTCTGTATCTATGGGCAAGGTCATCTTTCTAAGCTTCATCTTAATCATAGCACTTCCTCCATAATTATTAATATTCCAAGTACTCAAGAAAACAGCTATTATTTTTATTATTCTGTTTTTTGAGATGATAGTTCTGTCTGAATCTTATTGTCCCTTTTTATTCTGAAGGCATGGCTTACCAACTCTGAACATTTCACCATCCCTCTCTCCAGAAAGTAACTTTTTCTACCCATAGTTAAAGCAGTATGTACAAACATATGTAGTGGACTTGAAGTGTCCTGGAGCTGGAGCAGATTACTAGTATTTTGAGAGAACTTTAAACAGGTGAATCTGTCTTGGTAGTACTTTGCCCAACCCAAGTTGTTTCCTGCTAGAAATACTGGAATTGCAAGTCTGAAAGAGGTTCAATCACTAAGTAGCCCAAAGCACAAAAGAAAATATGCTCACCATTTTTGACGAACTTCATAGATGTCTTGAGGCGAGCGACACTAATGTCCAGTTGTCCAACAACTTTCCGGTACCTTCCACAGTCACAGACAGTACCTTTTCAATGACAGAAACCGTGAATTCATGCCGAAGCACGTGCAGACCTGCTGAGAGGGGCCGCGACTCCTCCCGGGGTTTACTGTCTCTTTCTCTTCTACTGTGTTTCTCTGTGAGTAGCTATCTTTTCAAACTTTTATTAAGAACAAGGTTTCCTGTCTACGCTGCCTTCAGGAATTCAGAATACATCTTTTAACATATGGTGAAGGAGTTAACACACCGTTCTGAACCATCTCTTTAAAAAGAGGAGTAAACACAACAAACCACTACACACATATTGTGGACCATTTGGCATCTTGTCGAACATAGGACGCGATGCTCCAATTTCAGAATAAAATCTTTACAGCTTTCTTAGTACATTTTCCCAACCCATCTTCTTTTCTGGGACTGCATCATTCATTCACTTGTACAACTCTCCACGGAGAGGGGAAACCGTTCACGATGAAATCAAATGTAAATTCTGATGATCCACTGGAGTGGAGCTTGAATGTTTTGAGGACTAACTTAACATCTTGTGAATAGTTCCAACCTATTTCAAGAACCGGTTGTTGCCCTTGTGGGTTAATTATGATTTTCATTTCTGCCATTCATCCCCCTTTGCTCATTTACCTTTTCAGTCACCCACTGATACTGTGGCAGAGAGGGATTGGAAGGGAAATAATGTGAAATTCAAATGAGTCTATTCTTTTTCATTTATTGGCTGCTTCATATACACATTTCTGTTTACTTTTTTCTGAGGTGGTTGAAAAAGAAAAGGTTTATTAGCCAAAGGGGGGGACTCAGTGGCTTTATTTCTCCACATTATCAGTTAAATAAAAGGAATTAAAAAGCATTCTTGGAATCAGTTTTTACTCTACTCCAGTTGACAGAAACAGCTGAAGCCCCCCAAACGCTTTGCTTTCTTTCTCTGCCTATTGCACTGGAAATAAAGCTCTCAGTACTCGGGGAGAAGGCCCCCAGCCATTGGAGTCCTGTCCTATAACCATGGGGCCTTTCCGGGTTGGGCCAATGTGCTTCTGGCCAACTGCTGGCCAGTGTTCGGTTGAGATGCTGGTGGAATGCGAGGCATGCGCGTGCGGCCCAGGCGGAGGCCACTGGATTTTCCCCTCGGTCTGGGAGAACAGGGCTGCTTCCGGAGGCAGTGGCTTGGCCCCCCACACAGCAAGCCTGACGGGCTGGAATGTGCCATCGTCCCCTTCCCCAGGGCTTGGAAAGTCACCAGCAGGAGAGAGAAAAGTTCCCTTCTTCCCCTTCCTCTCCCCTGAGTGAAATCAAATCAGGTACACTGAAAAGATTTTTTGTTTTCTCCTAAAAGTGGAATCTATACTCTCTGAGATGAGTACATTTGGAATAGTGCCAGAAGTCAAGGGGAAAGACCAGCAACCGTACCTGCTTTGCCTTTTCCTCCAGGAATCCCGGGCAAACCCTTCTCCCCTTTGTCACCTGAATAGAAACAATAGCCCCGAAAAGGACAATGAAAACAATGAATCATTTTGGGCAGACATTCTCTTAAGTAGCTACAATCAGAGAAAACAGTTTTTACATTTAATTTGCAGTAACTCCCACCAGGATTCCTTGGTTTTATATAAATAATTTGATTTTGAGCTGGCTGCACAGGTCCAACTAATCAAACAAGTCATAATTGATTTATATTGAATATAGAATTCCAGTAGTATGTGCAAGAAACATTTAAATTTGTCTCAGCTATCCTACGAACATGTGCTTATAATGTAGCCTTGTAAGCAAGGCTAATACAATTCTCTTCATGTTTTTAATTTCGGAAGTACCGATGTTGTGTATATATATATGGATCAATTGATCAACACATTGCAGAGTCTACTTATTATGCACCAAAGTTCCTCCACGAGGCTTTGCCCTCGGATTTTCGAAAACATATGTTGTGCTTTTTCAAATTAATTCAACAGACATTTATTATTTACTTGCTCTATTCAAGACAAAAGGTTTGGTACTTTGAGAGGATATAAAGAGGCAAAATGAAACTTCTAACTTGAAAGAGTTTATACATTTTTAGAAGCAATGGGTTGTATGCAAATATGTATAGACAGTATCAAATACGAAATATGAACCTCAATAGTTTTCCATTCTGCTCTCCTCTGCACATGACCACTTTCTTATCCAGTCAGAGGCATCCACATAATAATTCTCAGAGCATCAGGATTATTAAAGCAGAGAGAGAAAAAAATGTTGCTTTTTTTTTTTTTTTTACTTCAAAATCAGATCTGAAGGCCACATCAGACACAATAATGGGAAGCAAAAGCTTTTGATTTTCAAGAGGACAGGTTTGGCTAAACCCTTTGAGAAGTAAGAGAGAAGACCCTGATGGGAGTAAAATAGTGTTGATGCTTCAGTGGTGATTGGGAAACAAAAGAAGAAAGGGCCCTGGAGGGATAAACACAGGGCAAAGGTCATCTGGGCTAGAAAAGAGTATGCGGCTTACCCTGTAGGCATTTGGTGTGGGCGGGGAAAACTGAGTACCTGACTCAGACAGGCAATGTGAGGGGAACAGAGCCAGGATTGAGGCTCTGCCTAGCCCGTTCTTTCCTGTCAAAAGGGAAAAAATGGGAGCCCTTCCAAAACCCGTAGGGTGTCCTGTGTTCCCTGCCCATTCGCTATTCTCTTCATCGCTGTTTGCTTAGCACTTTAAAATTTTTAAATAATACATATTATTTAACCCATATATCCAAAATATTATCATTTTAATATGTAGTCAATAGGAAAATATTAATGGGATATTTTGCATTTTTTGGTATTAAGTCTTCAGAATTTGATATATATTTTACACTTAAAGCACATCTCAGTTTGGACTAGCCATATTTCAAGTGCTGAGAAATCACATGTCACCAGTCACTGTGGCATTGGACAGTTTTGCTCAGTGCTTTTTATTCACTGTCCTGTGCATATTGACTGTTGATCATGGAGAAGGGCACACATGCTGGGGCCCCAAGGACTTGCTGAGTCCTTCCACGTAGACCCACCTGGGCACTTAGCTTCACAGGGATGCCAGTCATCTGGGACCCTGCCAAGCGGAAGGGGGTGGTCTCTGAAACCCAGAATGCAGTGCAAGTGCGTGGGAGGACACCTCAAGGCTTGCACTTGGGAAAGATGAAAGATGGTGACTCGTATGACAGAAGAACTCTGCTACTGTTGTAAGGAAGGCCTTGCACAGAGACCATACTCTGGGATAGAGGTAGACGAGACAGTGGTCCAGCCGGAAGGATGAAGGAAGGCCCTCCGGACCAGATGGCGCTGGAGCTTGGTATTCAGCAGGTGAATATGGGGAAGAGAGGAGATAATGCCCAGCAGAGGCACAGGCGAGGAAAAAACGTGGACATGGGCCAGCACCCTGACGAGGCAGATTCATCTACTCCCCTTGAAGCACTGTCCTGCAAGTTCTGCACTTTTTACACATAACTTGGAAAAGGGAAAAACAGATTTTGAGAAGAGATTAATGAAAGAAAGGAAAAATAGATTTGCTAAAGGCCAATCATTTGTCAAGTACTGTTCTGGACACTTTATAGATGTAATCATACCCAGTCCAATGAACTAGGCCCTACGTCATCATCTCTCGTTTACCGTTGCGAGACTGGGGACCTGAGAGGCAAACTAAGCTGCTCAAAGACATCCAGCGAGTCAGTGACACTTCCGTTGTCGCAGCCCAATCGCTCCTGACTCCCCCATTCATAGCGCTTCCCAATGAGTCAACCAACGTTTTCAGAAGAAATTAAAGTATTTGAAAACTGTTATCAAAAATGGAAAGGAATACCAGTCCTTAGTACTACTGAAAACAATATGGGCTTCAAAGACCATATGAATATGGTTTAATCTTTTAATTATTTTAAAATGGTGCATTTCTTTATATGTAAATCCCTTCTGATTTAACAGGCTGAAAATGGATCCTATTTCTGAGTTAAGCTCAATGATGGGACATTAAAGAAGCATAAACACAACATTTGCTTTGGAAAAATTACGTTTTTTAGAGAAAACAAGGCTTCCACCAGGGACTGCACACTATCCCTCTCACATGCTAACAGAGCAAGATGGAGAAAATGCCTGGGAGGCATTTGGAGAGGGCAGAGACGTCTGTGGATCAGAGCAGAGAAGGCTTCGCTGAAGCAATAGCTTGATCTTAATAGTGTGGGAAACAATTCCTGAATGGATAATTTGCCTTTTCTTTCTGAGAAGATGTAAGCACTGTGATTACTTTTCAGTATCTTTATGTGAACGCCTTTCTCTTTTTACCCATGGAAAAGGCAAAGCCGTGTGGTGGAGCGAAAGACTATAAAAGTCTGAACAATGAGGACTTGAATCTTGGCTCTGTCATTTACCAGCTAAATGTGGACAGGTTACTTAATTTCTTTAAGCTTCTATTTCTTATTTTTAAAGTGGAAATAAGGGCCCCTAATACCTAATATCATCAAAAAGGATGGATTATATAATGTTATTTCATCATGGGATTATCTCTATGCTGGACTCACAGAAGATGCTCAAGCAGTGTGAGCTTCTGCCTCCTAAATCTGCCTCCTGATTTAGGAGGCAGAAGAGTTATGGTAAAGGTAAGTATAGCAAGTACTTGGCCACCTGATGGAGGATGTGAACTTTGAATGGCTGTTGCCCCAAGCAAACTCTGGTATAAAGCCATACACAAAGCCTTATTTGGGTCCATGAGTGGAAACATGTTTGTAATAAGTGTCTTAAAATTGAAGAATTAGAGGCTGCATTTAAACAAATAAAAAGTCATAATGCTTTCACTGTAAAAGGATTATTGACCTTAAGTAAAAACATTTATTTTGCTATGAGATTTAATTTACCTATAATAAATTATTCCTTCTCATTCATGAAATGAAATATTGACATCCGGAAATCTACCTGTCCATGCAAGTGACGTTAAGGTCAGTCTAGAAAGTTGAGATTAATCTGAGTCAGTGCAAAATTTAAAAGGGGCATTGACAAAATGAGGGCCATAAATTTCAAAGTACAGATTAAAAATGAAATTAATCCCGGTGAGCCAGAACACTGAACCTTCATTTTTTTGAAATTTCAGGACATGCTCATAAATTTTGATGGCATATCTCTGGAGAAGAAAGAAATCTTAGTCAATGGTGGAAATTGATGTTAAGGGGAAGTGGTACTTAAAGAAATAAAGGGTAGGAAAGAGAGCTACCTTATAAGAAATATTTATCATTGATTTTTTTTCATTCTTCATGAAACGAATATTTAAAAAGTTTCTACCATATAGTAAGCATTAGGATAAAATGATTAAAAAGTAGGGCACCCACATACAGCTTGTTTTTATGTAAGTAAATTGACCCACTCAATCTTTCATTCATTAGTTCCCTCTAGAAGCTCACAGTGTGCAGGGCTAAGCAGACAAGCTAATAAGGCATGGCAGTGAGAAAAGTGATAGAGGAAGGTGCTAGGAGTTTATGCACCTGAGTGTGAATGAAGAATTGTCCTGAAGAAGATAAGGTTAGTTATCATTTCCAGACTTAACTGTTCTAACATTTGTAGAAGTTCAACCACTTTGAAACCCAGAAAATGATGCTAAAACTCTTGACTCTTCCTTGTCTCTGTCATCAACTACCCTCCCATGTTACCTAGTCTTAATCTATGAAGGGATTGTGACTCAGCTCAAGATTGTTAACTCCATCTCTCTTAGCTGGAGTCTCATCTAGGTTTGACACATTTAAATCTAGGATCATGCAACATCTTGAATAACTCATTGCAAAGAGAAGTTCTTGCACTCTGGGTGTGTTCAAGGCAGTGAATACCCTCCTCTTCCACTTCTGTTGATTCTAGGGAATTGGGATCTTAACCTCATCTAACATGGTCACATCTCAGAAATCTTGAAGTCCAACATGCCACTTTTGGGTGATACCTTTCCATCCCTTTCACCAATTGTTCAGTGAAGCTGATACAGTCAGAAACATATCCACGATGAATTTTATCCAAAGCTTTGAGGAGCCCTCATTAGGAGAAATAGTATCAAATTACAATGGGAAAAGTGGCTACGCAAATGTATACATACATTAAAAGAAATAAAAACAAATCACTAAATTTTAAAAACAGACAACCCATTACCAAGTACACTAAAAATCATAACAGTTTAACTACTAAATGAATTTCATGCTGCTATAATTCTTTTTTATTTCATACATCATGGGCTGCATATATTTGGCTGCATTCATGAATATCCAATTGACCTAGCACTATTGATGGAGAGGCTCGTCATTTTCCATCACGAAGTAATGTCAGCTTTGCATAAATCAAGTTTGGGCATCTGTTTTTGCATGCTCTCCTCCTTTCCACTGATCTATCTGTCTCTGCACTAAATCAATACTGTCTTCATAGGTGTAGCTTTATAATAAACATGTAATCTCAGTGACTTAAGTCACCCGACTTTGTCTTCTTTGAGAGTTTCTTTGGGCATTCTTGCTCCTTTTCATTTCCACACACATTTTCCACTGGTGTATTAAATTTTGAAAGCACTACTTCTGGGGCGTTGATTGAGGTAGCACTGAATCTGTAGATCCATTTAAGGAGAACGGACATCTTAACAATACTGAATCTTCCCATCCGTGCATGTAGTTTTACCTCCATTTCCTTAGATATTCTTTAATTTCTCTCACTGTCATTGTGTGCCATGTGTTGTACAGGGCTTACGCAGCTTTTAAAATTTACTCCTAGATATTTGATAATTTTGCTGCTATAATAAATGGCATCTTTTTCATTTCATTTAAAAATTGTTTCTGGTATGTAGGAACAAAATTTATTTTTGCATATTAAGCTATCTAAGAAGCTTAACAATACAAATAGCTAATCTCTACACCGTTTTGTATTTTCTGGGCCTGCAATCATGTCATCTGAAAATAATGACCCTTTAATTTCTTAATTTCCAATTATTATGATCTTCATTGCTTGTTCTTGCATTTTTTGGTATGGCCACAATTTGGTCTTAGATGTCTATTGGAATTGGTGACGAGGGCTGTGCTCACCATTCCCGATTTCAGGAGAGAAGTGTTCAATATTCTATTGTTAAGTATGATTTTAGAAGTCTCTTCTTGTTGGTGTTGATATTCCTTTAAATATTAAATCTGTGTCTCTCTATTCCTAGCTTCCTGAGATTTTTGAAACATGAATGAGTATTTGCTAAATGAAATGTTTTTCAGAATTTCCTGGAGTTCTAACTGGAAATTTTCATTTTTGAAATAAAAAGGAGCAGCATCCTAAGGCCAGTCTTCTCTGGCTGCCTGGAATGCACCTCGGGCGACTCTCCACTCCAGACTCTCGGACTCCTGTTGCTTCCTCACTTACCAACCGGGGAACAATGTAAGAAGAGAAGTAGTAGGTACAGAATGCACAGCTGAGCACAGCTGACCTGGGAGTGGTTCCCTTCTCCTCCGGATTATGGATCCTAAAGTCCTATTCAGTTTAGCAGCCTGCTCATGCCTTTAAATATGTTTTGTTTGTTTTTTTACATAGCTAGTCATTCTTCACAGAAAGATTAATGCAGGCAATTTTCTCATGGCCTGTAGTATAAATCTGAATTTTGTTTCTATCATTAACAGTGTAAGAAGTTTCTTTTATCTTTAAAACTTGTTATTGGTACTGCAGGTAAACTAAGAGTATTTTCAAATACAAGAATACTTCTACAAGGCCTTTTTTCATTTATAAGCTGTTAGATTTGGACAATCTTCTACAGACTAGCTCTCACCCTATACATTTCACAACTTGTTTCTTTTCCACAATCCGTACATTCCCTGGCCCAGGACACGTTCATAGGATGATCCGATCTCTGCCCCTACCCCACTGCCCACTTTTTCATCATGACTTTGGATAGATCTGCTCAATAAGTGGTAGGCATAGTCTTGGGAGCTATTTCTTTATTGAAATTGTTAGCTGTACATGAAAGTAACTTCAAACTGCATCAATAAGCCCAAACTGAATATTTCTCTCACTCAAGTTCTTCTTAGCTAACTCCCCAAATACTTGCCATCCACTTCAAAGCCCAGCTACTACCAGGAGAAGTACGAGGGAGAGACGCGGAAGCAGCAGGGGAGAGTAATGTTAACCTATGCGATGTCACCTAAGATAGGAAAGGGGTACTTAGGTAAGAAAAAGAAAGCTATTGCCTCTATTTTCATAACAGAGGTATTTGTTGCATTGAAGCAGTAATTATGCGCAGGGTCAGGACAGGACTGAAAACAAAAAGATGTTCCTATCCTGGTAACAGATCTCTACATGGAATTATAATTATTCCGTTCGAATTAAGAAAGGAAATTATACTGTCCCTTGCTACCTTGAGTCTTATGAATAATTGTTTTCTACTAGTGAACAGCCAAGGTATAAAGGAAAAACACTCATATTTTAGAAGCAAAGAAAGAGATCATTTTTATGCTGCAGAACCTTTTGAGTATACCAAGGGCATGCTCCATTTTGCTTGACATCGCCACGGGAGCACAGGAAAATGCAGCTTACCCTTCTTGCCAATGGGCCCGGTCTTGCCAGTGTTGCCCTGGTCTCCCATATCGCCCAGGTCTCCCTTAGTCCCTGGAAGGAAAAGCATGTCATCTTTATATCCTCACGTTTTACCTTCCCTGCAAAGATGTGGCCCACTTGAAGGAAACAGCGAAAATTATATTCTCTGTCTGGCATATTTATTATATATCCTGTGCCATATTATCTATTTTAATAGCATTAGAATGTATGTATTAAAATTAAAGGTGGATCGTTAGGGCAATCCTGAACCTGGTGATATTCAAATGCTTATCAGTGCGATATTTCTAAAAGGACCACAGCAGGGGATGTTTAATCTAAAGGTCAGATAAGGGGCTAAAAGGATTCTTGCACTTTATTCGAATTCTGTGTCTTGCTAGGTCCATTTCAGCTTCACTTTGTGAATCAATTTCTCCTGTGATTTACAATCACATTTGACCATCTCAGCTGCTTTGAAAAGGGGGAGGGAATGTACAATCATAAAACCTAGTCACCAAAGGAACATCAAAGATTGTTCCACTGAAAAAAAATGACAGGAATCACTAAATTCTTCCAAAATTGTTAGTATTTTTTCTATGATAGTCTAAACAATATTAGCTAATTATAAAGCTATATTTTTGTGAAAAAAATTTGCAATTGATTTCAGATTTATAGAATAGTATACCTATTTATAGTACAAACAAGATTTTAAGTTAGAATTTCTCAAAATGAGATCTCAGAGGCCTGTGTTTTCCTTTCTTTAAATTATAAAGATTTTAAAGTCAGTGGTCTAGAGCCGGCACTATGTAACAGCTGGCAGGGAATATCCCTGGTGCTCAGAAGACATGCTTGTACATCTCAATCCAGAAGCTTTTGGTTTTATGAGTAAAAACATTCTCTAACAACCTTTGTGTTGTTATTCTCCTCTTCTTCGCTCCTGCTCCTTCCACGCCCTGCCAGATGCTGGAGAAAGGTCAGTAAATCAAAGGACCAAACAACAACGTTCTGCTCCTTCTGATTTTCCTCCTGAAGCTCCAGGCCAGCCAAATAGAGTTGCTGAGCAGAAGTGTCTAAGGGGAGACACAGCTACAATACAGCTGTGTTTCCAAACTTCATCGTTTCTAGGTATCCCTGGAGACTTCCACTCCCTGGAGCTCCCAGAGCGCCCCCTCCAGGTGATTTGAAGGATGCCATTCGAGAATGTGTCTGTGCCTTGCTGACCGGCGATCAATCTCATGAGAACTCTCTGGTGGAGAGAGAGGTGGTATCTGAAATACATTTTGGGCTTCTTCGGAGCAGAGGTTGTTATGGAAGCTGCTCGTTCCTAGGGCAAGTCCAGGAGAGAGAGAAGAGGGATTGTAACATTACAGGGTCAAGTTCATACTGTTTTACGTACCTTTCGGCCCCATGCGTCCCACTTTTCCAAGCTTTCCCTCCTCTCCCGGATCTCCTTTTTCACCGTCATCTCCTTTGTGAGAAGAAAAATGAATAAGTGAAACAGCCCAAGTAGTAACAGAAGCACATGCTCCCCATGACAGGGTGGATGTGGTTGGAATCCACCTCTTAGCTCAGAGCTTGCCTACCACCACCATGTGCGTATCATGTATGTGTTATATATATATAATGTGTAATGTATATAATATATGTATCTCCACCTGGACTGGACACCCAGGGGAAGAGAAGACACTCTTAGTACCTTTTCTTTTTCACTTTTCTCCATATCCAACTCTATATTTAAAGAAATATACCGCTGGTAAATTTTGGATGAGTTTGTTTGAAATGACAAACTTATGTTCTTGCTGAAGAATCTGGCAAAAGCTGGAAGCACTTACATGTAAATGTTAAATACTTGTAGTATATAGAGGTATGTCTTATATATAAAGATATGTGTTTATGTTACACATATATTTATATATTATGTATGTTTTGTCCTATATAACATATGTAATATATAATATAGTTTTGTATATGAATTATATAAATAATAATATAATGTTACATATAATATATTATTTTAATATAACTATTACATTAAAATAATATATATAGAAATAAATAACCTATAAAACATTTAGCCCTGGCTGGTGTAGCTCAGTGGATTGAGCGTGGGCCTGCGAACCGAACAACTGCAGTTCGATTCCCAGTCAGGGCACATGCCTGGGGTGTGGGCCAGTTCCCAGCAGGGGACGCACGAGAGGCAGCCATACATTGATATTTCTCTCCCTCTCTCCTTCCCTTCCCCTCTAAAGATAAATAAATAAAATATTTTTAAAAAACCAATTATATTACAATGTAACTATAATGTAATTATTATAGCTCTATAACTACAATGCAATTATTATTGCTCTATTAATATATAATAGAACATTACATATATTACCTTAGTCTATTATTGAATGAAATAATATAAAATATATAAAATAATATAAATGATGTCATCGTAAATTATAGAAATATAGGCAGGTACATTTATTACTCTCTGACTGAATGCCTGGAAACCCCGCAGTTACAGGCATGAACCAGGAAGCTGCAAACAGGGCCAGCTGGGAAGGGGGCAGGTGCACAGGGGCTCTGTGTGAGCGGCGGCTGCCTGGTCACGGGTGGGTCAGGTCCTGCATCGCACCCAGTCAAGAACGACTGACTGAGTGTGGTTACAGGAAGCGCCCTGGACAGTGAGTCAGGAGTTCTGGGTTTTAATGACATGGCGGTCACCGATGGGTTGAGCAGATCTTTAAAAGCTCGTGATTGAACGTACTAGCTTTGGAGTAAGACAGATCTGGACTTGGGACTCTGCTTCACCGTTTACTATTTGGAGAAAGTTGAAGACCTGACTTCCCTTTCTGGGTTTCATGGACTGCCAACACGTATTAGAAAGGGCTCTCAAAAAGTTTAAGTGAAATAATGTACAGGAAAGACCTGGGGCCTAATTAGTGCTTGGCCATGGTGACTATTTTTATTCCCTCCTTTTTACTTAAGTTTCCTCATCCATGACCTCACTCGGTTTTTAGGATCAACAAGGCAAGCATGTGAATGTGCTTTGGAAATAAAGAGCACAGTGCACACCGTATTATGAGCAGCTACCTGCTACCACACCAATCTCAGGACATGAGGAGTCCTGTCCATCAGCCATGGAAGGGAGTAAATGGGAGATTTCTGAAGACAAAAATTGAATTCAGGGGTTAGATACTTGGAGAGAAAGTTGAGATGATCATTTATCTATGCAGAAAAAGCACGACCAAACCTTCCTCTGGTTTTTCTTCATCCTGAGAACAGAATGTTAATAATATAAATGAAAGCATGAGCAAAGTACGGAAAAGTTGGATTTCCAGGTAGTGAGATGGGTCAAGCATTGGAACTTTTCACACATATAGCTCCAGAATCCACTGGGATAGGCTTTCAAAATACAGGACAGGCTTTTAAAACACAACGAACAGACGATTCATGTGATCAGAGCAGAGGGGTGCAGTGGGTGCACTGACATTTCTCTAGAGTTAATAGTACAGGTTTACTGAGCAATTATTATGTGCGCCATGCATTGTGCTAAGATAAACGCCACGGCAATTTGAGGAGATGAAAATTATTGTTGCTCCATTATATGAATGGAAAAACCAAGACTCAATGAGGTTAAGTCATTTGCCTACTGGCACAGGACTTATGAGTGGTAGCACTAAGAGTCAACCTCAAGTGTGTCTCTGCCCCTCCAGATCTCTACAAGTAGATGATTGCCCCCCCTCCACACACATATGAATCTGCTAAGCTTCCGTGACTTAGCAGATTATGGATTTTAGAGAACTTGGCACGGTGTGAAATTTTTCAGAGAGAAAAAGGGAGATGCAGAAAGAATGATAGTTTCTTTTTAAATAAGAGAGATGGGGGGAACAACAGCTATTATTTCAATGACTTAATTCACAGAGAATGTACCCTTGAAGTAGATCAGTACAGTTGAAACCTAGCTTTACCACTCAGCAGCTAAAGGAACTTGGGAAATTCTTGACCTTCTTTGAGGCTTGTTTTACTCACTTGTAGACTGGACTAAAATAATACCTTTTTTTCCAGAGAGTTTAAGTAAAAGTAAAGTCAGAATAGTATGGTCCTTTGGAAGCCCCTTCCAATACTCACAGGCCAGGCTAAATTCTGTATCTCTTTTTCTTACTTCATAGAACCAGAGGCATGGAAACAAGGAACAGACTGGTAGGGACCAGAGAGGAGGGGGAAGGGCAATAAGGGAGGAAAGAAGGGGAAGGATCTAGTTAAAAAATAAACGTAGATGACCCATGGACATGGACAACAGGGTGGGGATTGACTGTGGGAGTAGAGGGGCTGGGGGTGGGCAAGGCAGGGGAGACTGATGGGGGACAACTTGTAGAACAACAATAAAAAACAACAAAATAAAACATCACTGTACGCAGAGGGTGTCCATGTATCTGTGCTACCCTATGCCCTGTGCAGTGGCTGGGGTCATGAGTGACTTATTCTGGTGTCCCCAGGATTGAGCACAGTATCTGGCTCTGGTGCTAAATAAGTACAGTTGAACTGAATGTGTTTTGTGAGCCATAAATATAATGATAGCATTTATTGTATACTGTATGCCAGAGGGTTCGCAGTCATTGACACACATCCTAACAACTGCCTCCGCAATGGATATTATTCTTACCTCCATTTTACAGATGAGAAAATGGGGTCAAAGAGAGGTTGGGAAGCAATTTCCCAGGGGCACCTAGCTCATAAGTAACAAGGCCAGGATTCAGACTGGGGCATTTGTTATCAAAGCACATGTTCTGAATAAGCTCTATGATGGGGAATAAATTCCTGTCTAAATATTGCTGGGCTTGGGATTGCTATTCTGTACAATGGGACCAAGCTGCTCAGCAAAAGGCAAGATCAAAGGCAGGCATGTATGTGAAGCACTCTGGGAATCGGAAAACCACAGGAATGTGAATTATCGGTGCCATTATCATTTCTGATCATTCTCCCCCTTCCTGTGAGCCTTCCTTTTCATTGTCAAGCACATCTGTAACTGGAGGCCATCAGATGAGTGACCTGGTCATCTGCTGCTCCTTGGTGGCTCCTGATGGAGACCTGGGAGGTAAACATAGGATTATCATTCTTCTGACCTGGGTGCCTGCATCCCAGCCTGGTGGTGAGTGGATTGCTGGCAGAGCGGAAGCAAACAACTTGTGCCCTTGCCTTCAGCCTGGGTGCCTGGTTCATTTGAGCTTTGGGACTTGCTTTAATGAGAACAGCAGAGAGGTATAACAGCAAGCTTTGGAAAAGATCCCCCACATGGCTCACAGTTTTCTGCTTTTATCCTCTTGGCAATATTTCATTGGATTAGTAGAGCAATTTCAACTTCCTTTTTTTCTTTTAAAAATAGCTACTTACATTTTCAAATCAAATAAAAATCGATCAGCTAAAATGAACTAATTTCAATTTTACAGAAATGGCTGGTTTCCGCCCCTTTGGGCCACTAGCTTGCTGTGATAATCTCTCCAGCAGAATTCCAGCAAAGAACACAGTTGACCAATTTTTCTAGGTCAGAATATTTTCTTCCACTCAACAAGCACAAAGTCTTAATTTAAATTCTAGTTTGAAATCTAATGGGTGAACTGAGGTCACTACCCTTGCTCAAAGATAGTAATTATTAAAAATTAAGCCCTGGCTGGTGTAGCTCAGTGGATTGAGCGTGGGCCTGCAAACTAAAGGATTGCAGTTCGATTCCCAGTCAGGGCACATGCCTGGGTTGCAGGCCAGTTTTCAGCAGGGGACACATGAGGGGCAACCATACATTGATGTTTCTCTCCCTCTCTCCTTCCCCTCTCCTCTAAAGATAAATAAATAAAATACAATAAAAACCCCTTTATTTAAAAAAAATTAGTGAACTGGTTTTGGAAATGCTACAGAAAATACACTGGGTGCTATTCTATTCCCACTGTCAGAATAATCTTATGGACCGAAGGAAGTTGTTAGCAATCATTCTTCTAATCAGATCAGCCTTCAAATTGAGCGAGGTATGTAATAGGGTGTCCTTTGTTAATGAGGCCAGACTTCTGCTTAAAATATATCCTTCCCATCCCTACTTACATCCTTATCCACAAATGCCAATTGCATCCTCATTGTTGGAAATTTCAATAGTCATCAATTTCTCCTCTGACCTCTCGTGTATACCAGATACACTAATATAGCCTTAAAGTGGGCCACCTCCCAGTCCTTTCCTTGCCCCGGTCACAACCTCATCATTTCCCTGGAATAATCAGGCCTCCCTGGAACCTACTATTGTTGCCTTCTCTCCATTCATCAAGTTTATCTGTCCCTCTGTGCCCTCCCCTGCCTCCCCATTCATCTGGATTCTTTCAATTTGGTCACTGTCTCACAGCTCTCCCTGTGGCAAAAGAAGTGGAATTGGTGAAGACAGCTTTGGAGCAAATGATTTCATTTCCGAGTCTCTGTTTATTCATAAAATGGAGACAA